ATGCATACACGATCAGCTTCCTGTGTTTTCACAACACTAGATTTGAAATAGAGCCTTTGCTTTTCTTCCACCTAGGAGCTCTGTTGAGACTACAGTGGTCCCTCGGGTTACATACGCTTCAGGTTACAGACCTTGCTTCAGGATGAGAACAGAAGTTTTGCTCGGCGGTGTGGCAGCAGCAGGAGGCCCCATTAGCTAAAGTGATGCTTCAGGTTAAGAACAGTTTCAGGTTAAGAACGGACCTCTGGAACGAATTAAGTACTTAACCCAAGGTACCACTGTATGTTATGTCCCAAAGACAGGGGAAAGCAGATATTGAACACAACATTGTTGGGGAGGACGGGACAGGAAGCACAGGGCACTTGCCTATCCATCTGCCACCACAGCAAGATGGTGCCCCAAGTATCCATTTCAGCCTTGTGAATAAGCTTACAAAAATAATTAGGCTGCAGAGAAATAAACAATTACTAGCATGCTAAGAGGGAAGTAGCTTGTGTTTCTATGCTGGATATGGAGGAGGACAAGGGTGTAGGGGGGCTGTAGCCCTGGGCATATGATATTTAGAGGGCTCCCATGCAGGGATTCCTGTCCTGCCCTGCCTGCCGCTGGGGGTTTCTGGGCCCTGGAGCCCGGCTGGACCTCGCCACTGCATCCCTAGCCCCCTCGCTGAATGGCCCCCTGGCCAGCATTGAGCAGTTTCAGCTGCCAAGGCTGCGTCAGCCAGCCTCCTCCCTGCACAGGCGGTGCAACGCAGTCCCCCTTGGCTCTGGTAGTGAAAGCCAGGCTGGCCTGGCGCAGGCTTTGTGAACTCTCCGCACCCCGGGGGTGTTGGCAGCAAGGGCTGGGCTGGTGCAATGGGTTCTGTTCCCCCTCTATGCCCCGCCTCTGTGTGTGAACACGCCCCGGTTGTCAGCAAATGCTGCAACACCACTGGAGGAGGAGAAGGATGCTACTATTCTCTTAGAAGGCAAGGTAAGATAAATGACCTTCCGCCTGGGACAATCCATCCCTGCTTTGTCAGCCTATTCACTTGCTGGCATTGAATCCCTAGTTGCTTAAGGCGTTTACAACATTGCCCATATGATATACAAGGTTGCCCCATGATACTGAAGGCAAAGAAAGCAATAAAGTGGTACCTCGGGTTACATACGCTTCAGGTTACATATGCTTCAGGTTACAGACTCCGCTAACCAGAAAATAGTACCTCGGTTTAAGAACTTTGCTTCAGGATGAGAACAGAAATCATGCTCTGGCAGCGCAGCAGCAGCAGGAGGCCCCATTACCTAAAGTTGTGCTTCAGGTTAAGAACAGTTTCAGCTTAAGAATGGACCTCTGTAACGAATTAAGTACTTAACCCGAGGTACCACTGTACAGAATGAGACAAGGGCTGTGCCACAGCTGTAAGTGGAAAACTGAGAAAACTGTGGTTTTTTGGGCACAGGAACAAGGTTCTGAATAACCCCTTCCATCCCCAGGCTCATACTTCAAAGCATTAAAGGCAAGAGGTGACATTGTATATTTTTATGAGTGTATTATCAGCCTGTAAGTCAGGCTACAACTGCGTAACATTTTGAATCCATTTCAAAACACTGATTGATAACTCACCAAGCTCCAAAGAAACTGATTGCTAAAACACATGGCTCGTCACCAAACCGCAGTTAACAACCTCAGATTTATTTAAAGACCAATGATTTCGGAATGATCAGCGTCTGAGAAATAGCCACACTGATTAAATGGCTGGACGCAGATGAAGAGTACGCACAGGCGCGCTCCAAGGCTTACTTACCCATGCTCATCTTGATTGGCAAATTTTCCCTGCTTGCAGCTTCCACTAGGTGTCTCCTGACTTCCATCACAGCTTCTTTCTGCTTGGAATTCATCAAGGACTCCCACAGAGACTTAGCAGCTGGATCACTATATATAAAAAAGGAAAAAAAAGCACCCAGGTTTACACCAAACATCTGCTAAGAATCAAGCAAACGGACTGGAGCTTAGTGATTTCTACAACGTGGATAGCCTATCTACTTTCAAGTACGGAAACAAAGCTCAACTTTTTCAGAAAGGGTTGCTCTCTCTTCAGACTAAGAATACATGGGCTGATTTGGTAACTTGTTATATTAACCGGAGGTTATCCATTTAATTGGTTCTGTTACCACAAAATTTTTAAGAGAATAGTTCGGCAGTGGCTTGCGCAAACAACCAAAGCTACTGAGAATATTAATGACGACAAAAACAGCAACAGTTTCAGTATAGCAGACTTTCTTCTGAAATGTACTATACTTTTGAAATGAAAAGCTGTTCGCGGGGTTCAGAAGTCATGGTGGGCTTGCGAAGCCGTTGATACAAGCAGAATATTAAGCAAACGTTCATATGGCCATTGATGGAAAGTGGATCTGGCTGAGCTGGGAGGTGTTGCATTAAATCTCACTCATTCATAAAGCTCACTGAAGTACAACAAGCGAGGGAGGGACACTGAGAGGAAAAGCAGTGGTTTCAGAAAAGGTTTCAGTACAGCAATAAAGGAGTTGGGAAAGGGTCCTCTGCCAAGGCCACTGCTGCTGCTGTGAAACATGTCTTCTCTTTTGCTCTCCTGCCTACCCCTGACTTCGTGCAAATCCAGGACTGTGTTGAGGCACTACAAATCCTGCAATGGGGGCTGCATGAGGACATACATTTTTTTGTTATATATGAAGGCATAACTTTATGCAGGGTCAGTCTTGAATGGCGTACAAAAGTGCTCTATATCTCAAATATGTCAATATTAATTGTGATCACATGGAACTATAACTTTTAAAACAAAAAAGAAAGAAAAATCAATACCCATGAGAAAGCTCCTTGGCAGAGACAAACGTTTATTGTCAAGTCATGCTAATATAGATTTTAAAAGTCCTGGAGGGCAATGATTTCCTTCCCCGGCTTTTGTTTCTTTACAAGCCAATTTCTTCCCAAAGTTGTAGGTTTGCTTTGCAAGGCTACTGGGAATTGTTTAAAAATATGTTGAGAATAGCAGACTCTGTTTAAAAGCAAAGTAGAAAATATGACAAACCGGCACATTTGAAGACTTGCAATATCAAAAGTGGATGTTTTGTAGACTTATTACTGCTTGCAAAAGATGGGGAAAGGAGATAGACACTGTTTCTACACACTTATTTCTATATACAGATTCAGCTGTCTAGCCAAGTGATAGGATAGCACCAGGAGTAGTATCTAAACAAATGGCTTTGGACAAAAATAAAATTTGTAGCTAAAGAGAGTAGTTAATCGAGACTCCCGCCCTGCCACCACAATGCTTTCTAGTGATGGACTTAGCTTTCAGATTTGGACCTGGCAATTCTAGGTCCACGGGTTGTCTACTAATATACCCTGTTAAGTAGGCAACCTCTGAAGCCAACAGCAGCCGCACATTCCATGCAGGATACTGCTGCTAGTCTCCTAATACAACCGAGCTAGAGTCCACACTACCATTCATCAGATTTCGCAACATGATCAAAGTGATGAGGTTCTACACAAATACTGCTTGCTTCCCTGCGTTCTTCAAATCTCAGATCTAGAGTCTGTTCTGAAGGCAGACATGGAAAATGTGAACAAATAAATATGTGCCTGAGCTTATTCAGAGTGCATACATGGTAACTTGACCAAGAAAAACTGGCATTCACACAACTGGGACCAGGGCTTTTATGAGTTTTGGAGACAATTCAAAGAGAAAGCACGCATGACCTTATATTCGTTCATTTGATGTTTTAATGTAAACCGTTTTGAAATCCCTCCACCCTTTAAAATATAAAGTATCACAGAAATGAAATAAATAATAATAACAATAAGCTTCATGTGGGGATGGCACCTTGATATTCCATTGTAGTGACTGTAACCCAGGGTTGAGGTGTCATTTGGCGATTAGCTTATATATGCAAGTTTCTAACACTGGTGAGAGTATGTGGAGCCACCAAAACAGATGGACAGTACATGCAGTTTTGACAACCTGGATTCAGCCTCCAATGCCCTGAAACAGGATACTGACACTATCAGAGTTACCCATAATGTCTATTTGTCAAGCAAGCACCTTTGAAAGCTGTGTGTGGATTACTAGACTCACAACTTTTGCTACAGGGCATCAGCACTCTTTGCTCGATCAGATTGTCTGTAATTCTGACAACCCGAGAAAGCTTGGCTTCTTAATAGGCTTTCCTCCGTCTCTTCGGTTCCAAGTAAATATGATAGGACAACTCACAAAGCATTCAAAGATCATGTTTCAGAGTGATCTCCAAAATCCCCAGGCAGGCTCCTGAGAAAGGGACTCCTCCTAAAGTCACATCCTGAGTAAACAATGCTGAATAGTTCAAGATTTTAAGGATTTTGTTTTATTTATTGCAGACAGAGATGCTGTCTCAGTTTACAGCTTGGTCTGAGTTTGAAATCATGTCCACTGCCAACATGACTTCTGTCTGAAATGAAACATTAAGCATGCATATATCCTGGTTTCGAACAAATGCCAGTTGGAGTTGCTGGGAGCTAACAGGAAATGCTAATCTCAAGATAAAGTGCAGCTCTGTTTAATGCAGAAGAATAAGTAGTGAACTGTGGTCCAATGAAATGTAAAGTAGGCAGTGGTTCTGGAGAAAGAGAGATACGGGGCCCTGTTTAGAAACTGTATCAATGTTGTCACAGAATCATAGGATTGTGGATCTGAAAGGTGTCATGAGGGTCATCTAGTCCAACCCTCTGCAATGCAGGAATCTTTCACCCAACGTGGGGCTTGAACCCACAACTCTGGGATTAAGAGTCTCATGCTCTATTGACTATCCTTTAAAACCAATTTAGATTGTTAACTGTGTGTAGTGGGACAAAACTGGTGTTTCATGCCTAACTGAAGCCAGAGAGATACATTGTGTTAGGGTCAGTTTTATAGTGTGTCAAAAAACTGTTACTATCTAATTTTTGATGTTACAGTTATAATAGTTAGCTGGAGGACATAGATTTTTACAGTGGTACCTCTGGTAACGAACTTAATTTGTTCCGGAGGTCCGTTTTTAACCTGAAACAGTTCTTAACCTGAGGTACTACTTTAGTTAATGGGTTCTCCCACTGCCGCCACGCCATCACTGCGTGATTTCTGTTCTCATCCTGAGGTAAATTTCTTAACCCGAGTACTACTTCCAGGTTAGCGGACTCTGTAACCCGAAGTCTTTGGAACCCGAGGTGTTTGGAACCCAAGGTACCACTGTATATGCTTCAGTTTATTCACAAAGTGATGGGTCCTTCACTGGGCATTCCATTCAAACATAGTGAGTCATAATTATAGGCCAACCAAAATTCAGAATTTCACTGAGAGCCTGGTAATTGGTTGGAAAGTTAGGCTCAGCACTGCTTAAGAGCCTGAGAAGAAAACCTTTGAAAAATGAAAGAAGAGACTCTGAAGAGGCAAGGCAAAGAATGCTGTGTGGAAAGCAGCAGCAGCAGCACCAGCCAGGACTAAAGTGGCTGAAGTCCAGAGAGAGGCTAGGACCTGAGAAATCCCTTTGGCAGAAGGCAGCTGACGATGAAGGAGCCAACACCTTAAAGATGAAGTCACTAAAAGTAGAAACTAAGAAGGTCTTCAAGGGGAGAGGAAGACCATAGCAGCAGCCCTTGGGAAAAGTTGAAGGCAGTGTGTCAGCCGCAGCATTCAAAAGTTGCCAGGTATCAGGCAAATTTTATACCTGTCTATTGGCCACTTGCGACCAAGTCAAGAAGGCGTCTGGTGTCTCCACCATCTGGAGGTGAATGCCTGGAGATCCTTGGATCTTGACTGTTTTCACACACTAGCAATACATCCTGTAGAACTCTATCCTACAGAATAGAATTCTATTCTATTCTATTCTATTCATTTTATTCATTTTATCTGGACAATTAGAATGAATTTCAAGAACCAAAAGTCGGATTGGAAAGTATTTTTCAAGCCACCTGGCCCAAAAATGGCAACTAGGCATTCTGTTTTGGCAACTGTAACTCAAGGAGCCATTTGGCGCCTAGCCAAATCTGAGTTTCTAATACTGGCCAGCCGGTACTTTTCAGATGTGCTCAGGTATTTGCAACACTCAAAGTGTGGCAGGAGGCATGCACCCAAGTCCCCCCAATGCCTGCTCACACATTGCTTCCCCCCTCAACTTCCCAGTGTTGTGTGGGGTTGGTTTGTGGCGGCTTCTATTCATGCCTGCTCAAGTGGTTGGAGACCTTGTTTGATAAGTGTCTCCAATCTCAGGGACAGTTCCACCACATTCAAGATAGCATGAATAGGTGCCCCTGCAGAACCACTGCATTCAGTATGGGATGGTTTGGCATTGATCATGCACACCCCTGCCCTTGGCCATGGATACAGAGATCATGCATTCAGGGAAATGCCTTAGCATGCCTATCATTTATCATGCATATGTGACAGGAATACCTGCAGTCAATAATAAAAGGTAGGATAAATAAATGATAACAGGCCTTCCCTTTCAGGTTCTCGAAGGTGTGGGGAAACAGGGTAGTGACATTTGCTGAGGGCTACTAACTTGTATAGACTTTTATGGTTATGACCTATGCTGGTATCCAGTTTGAGAAATATGCTCATGTAGAAAATTCTCACATATAAAGCAGCTCCTTCACAAGGAACAACAGATTGAAAATATCCAACAATACTGCTCCCACTTAGGCTAATAAATACAATCTGATACAGCAAACAATTCCCAGCTTCCTAGTCACAGAGCATTATCCTCATTTGGATTAATGGCATTTAAAATTCCCATAATTTTCAAAGCAAAACATGCAGTTGCATATTTTAAAAGCCAGACAGTCAACATAAAAGAACGTAAGCATTTTCTTGAGCAATTTAAGCTTATTCCTCAATTCCATTCCAACTCCTCAAGCCACTTTGATGGCGTAATCTGCTCTAGACT